ATATATATTTATAGCATTCAATATTTTATTTTTAAAATTTCTGTCTGTACTTTTTCAAGATATTTCATTAAATTTTCCAGCTATTCATGATTTAATTTTAAAAGGTATCTTAATTCATAGTTAAAAAGTGTTAAAAATGCAATGCTATTAGCAAAATTAAAATCTCAACATACAAGCCTATATTATATTTGTTAAGGTGTGTAAGTAGATCTACATAGCTCTAGGTCTGTGTCAAAAACTAGGTCAAGGAAATAAGGGTCACACCACAACTTATAAGAGGATCTAATTAATTGATATTTTCAAATGTGAAAGTGAAGCAGAACATTGTAAAACTGTTGATGTTAATGCCTCTTAGTTAGAGCAATTTCTTGTTCTATAGAATAGATCTATAATTTAGATTATCATTATAGATATTATGTGTCTGTACGTAGTCCTAAAACATGTTGAATAGACTATAGATCTTTTTTTTAACTCTACAGTTTTTCTATACTTGTACCATACTTACTTTCCATCCAGCAGAACTAGTGTTATCGCCTTTATCTTTGAAATAAGGAACATTCTGAACCATCCAGTCATATATTTGAGACAGTGTTAATCTTTTCTCCGGTGAACTTTGAATAGCTTTCGTAATAAGGTCAGCGTAAGACAGATTTCCCCAAGCATTTCTACGAGAACCACTTTTCTTGGCAGTTAATCCAAGAGGATCTTTAGAATTTCCATGAGGATCTACTCCTGAGGTAGCCTCATCTACGGACACGGGACTGCTTTGAGTTTCTAATTCTCTCTGTGGCCTAAGAGGCCACGTATTCGAACGTGCTCTTGTTTGCGGTTCGAAATTAGAGTCCAGATCAAGATCTATGTCAGCCGCGTCCATCTTTACTTTAAGCCCTCACTTTCCGAGTCTCAGCCTAGGATGTCAGTTATGTGGATAAAATCGGTTATTAGATCAAGTTAATCTGTAATCTCACCAACAAACCACAATAATGTCAGAATAAATAGAATATAATGTTTCACATAGCGGTGTATCCAATATAGTTTTGCAGAGTAAGTAGATCTATTTCCGATTCCTGCATTAGAGAAATTTTGGCTAATATCTTTTAACTACTGTAAATGCAATGATAGCATCTTCTAGTATGACATTTGTTGTCACGGGTGATTTGCATAGACATGTGCTAGAGGCGCACGCAGATGCGCAAAAGATTACGGCGCAACTGGAATGAAAACTTCCGTTGAGACTTTAGAGGCTCTGTCTAGGACTACTCAATTTTTTTTTTTTTATGTGAGAAGTTAAACGGTTTCTGGGCTAAACAAGTGGTAGTCCTATAAGCTAATTTAAAAGAAATAATAAAGAGGTGATTTTTTAAATTAGCTAATCATAAATAATAAAATGGTAGCCGTAACCGAAAAAGCTATACCGGTAACAAGAAATAATTTATAGAAACCCAAAGTAGACCTCTATCTTCATCACTGACACAGTGCAATGTTTACTTTTCCCTACACATTTACTGATTCACAACTGTACTGAATAACTATTTTAAAACTAGGCGTAGCAGTACACAAGATGTCCTTTGTATGTGTCCTGGCTTTATGGAGAAGATATGAATTCTAAAAAAACGAAATGTGCACAACTTAGAAACCGACTACAAAATGAAATCCAATCCGGAAAGCGCGAGCGCCGTGACGTGAAGTCGAAGAGAGGGTGCACTGCAAATTCACCAAGGACAGCCAACGAAATCATAGATCCAGGATAGGGAGGGAGAAGTGCAAATTTTAGAAGTGGGTCTACTGTTCCGCAAGTCACCATCCTGATCAGTGACGACGAGAGAGTGGAGGACGAACGACATAACGTCATTAATTTTAATAGATATGTAGGCTACCATTTTTACATATATTTTTTTATATAGAATTAAGTGCATGCCATTGGTAATGAACGTCATTGGGAATTAAGAGTGGGTTGCGACTCGCTACGTCGTGCCACAAAACGTGAAGGTTTCTATAAGAAATGCTTTCGATTGAGAGCCGATCGAGACACTAGTAGATATATAGGCCTATCTCAGACAAACTTAATGGGGAACTGATTTGGAAACCATTGCTCAATTCAGATCAGATAGCATATGTATGTGTATATATATATATATATATATATATATATATATATATATATATATATATATATATATATATATAATTCTATTTATTTGATCTGTACAGTATTGAAAAAGAGAATGAAGAAAACACATTTTTTAGAGCCCGCCCCTTTTTTTTTTTTTAAATAACTTCCAATTGTTGGCCAGTTGATATTGTCTCATAGTGCCCCTTCTTCCCTAGTGCCATTAGAGCATGGAATGGATTGCATGAATCAGCAAGGAAGGACAGCGAATTGACAGAGATTACGTCACTGATTAACATGCATGACTAGATTGACACATGGATAGCCGTAATTTATAGGACAAGAATATAAAAAGGCGATTAAATGTCTAATAGGCCGCTGCAGCTTATGCCCGTGATGCCTAATCCGTGGGGAACATGCTAGCCATCCCCTCGAACAGTTGACGCACAATGCAAACATGGATGTTTAAATTTTTATAAAGGTGATGGGAGTTTTTTCTCTACGTTGGGGGGGGGGGGGGGGGGGGGGGGTTCTCATTCTGCTTTGGTAGATATTGGAAATGTACATACATGGCGGATAAACTAGAATTATAGCCATTTGGCCTATCCGATATATATAATAAAGTGTCGATTGGCTGTATTTTTAAAAGGTAGGCAATGACTTTTGTGCACTTTTAGCACTTCGGAATCAAAACTTCTAGGCCCTTCTATTTTATTTATTTCAAAACAAAAGAGGAACTAACTAGCGGTAATAGAGAAGATATAAATCGAAGATCAATTGCCAGTTTTTAGTTGGCAATCGTGAAGTTCTATTTTGCGTCCTTGACATTGTTTAGTTTATCGTGAATAGCTCCAGTAACATCAATCTGTTATTCATATATTTACTGTATTTATTCATTGATGTGTTGTAAGGGAACATTACGTTGACATTTCCGGAAGATTCATCTGTGAGTTAGCTATTTTTAGTTTTTGGAAATTTCCTTTACTTTGGCGTGCCGTGTCCTTGACATGTGAATGTTGCAAGCATAGACTGTGACCTCAACATCTTATGCATTCATGTATTATATAAGATAAGACTTCTTTAGGTAGCAGCCCGAGTTGTACAGTACGTGCTGTTCAACATTTATATGTTGATGAAATGGGACAGCAGAGGAAACTAAGGTTGACTGGTTGAGTGTAAGACAAGTTCTTTTGTTTTTCTTGTGCAACATGAGTCAAAAGTTTGATTGAACAAAAAAAAAATGATTCCGTTTGTATCATCCATGTAATTAAATTAGAACCGTAATAGGTCTAGACCAACAATAAATCTGTGCGATTAATACTATTTTTACCAATGGACCTCATTCACCAATCGTAAACAAACAACATTTAGCCACGTGGTGCTCTATCTCTTCCATATAATTTACGATCTCATGTTTAATTCATGATGGTTGTCACGTGAGTTTTTTTCGTTGATTTATCAATAAGATCACGTGACTAAATGTTGTTTGTTTACGATTGGTGAATGAGGTCCATTGTTTTTGTTCTGCCCTATTTATGCTATTAGCTTTCTGAATACGCTACTTTTTTTTTTCTGAACCAATTGGGTAAAAAGGGGGGAAGGGGGAAAGATATCTGGATGGATTTTACAGTAAAAAAAAAGGGGGGGGAGGGGGGAAACGACCTGAATTTGAACTCATGACTCATGCACGCCCCCTCGGGTTAACATGCTAACCACTCTGTTAGTATGGTACATACGACAATAAAAGATTTATAGTTAAATATTGTTTGTTTTAATTTAGAGTGGCGACCTATAAAGGAGACTAATTCAGCGTATACCACCACTTGTCAAGTACAATTTCTTTCCATTGTTCGAGATACCACTTTAACTAATTAATTACCAATAGTTAATTTACGAATTGGTTATATTTTTTTTAAATTGATTCTTGTGTTGTCAGGTCAAAGAAATACTTGTGCACGTTTCAGCTTGATCTGAGATTGGGTGACGGAGAAATCACGTGTAGAAGCTTTGGATCAGGCGGACACAGCCAACGTCAGGTCACGGGCAGACACAGCCAACGTGAGGTCACGGGCGGACACAGCCAACGTGAGGTCACGGGCGGAAACAGCCAACGTGAGGTCACGGGCAGACACTGCGTTGATAAAAAAAAAATTACTTGGTATTAAGGAACATTTATACGCCACAAAACAAGTAATAGGCGTTCTTGGTTCGGGACGCGAAGAAAATGTTTCGCAGTGAAGTGAAGCTATTATTCTATGTTTCATCGACAAATAAAAAAAAAAAAAAAAAATAAAAAAATTGTTACGAGGGCGATGTGTGCTGAAAAGAAAAATGCAGCCTTCAGCCATTTTCGCCTAACAATGACAAAGCGATGGGAATATATATATATATATAAGGAGGAATCTCAAAGCAGCACACCTCTAGAGACGAGTCCACCGACGTATGACACCGCTCAACAAACAGCGATCTACAGTTTGGAGGCCATGTATAGGACTATCACTTGTTCATTTTAAGCCGTCACAGAGGGTTTGGCTCTTTTAGAGAAACATAAATGACGGTGACTGTTGGTGCCAGAAGTATGATTGGATGCTATTAACGGATTAGTAGAAAGTTATTGGTAAAGCCTCCTCTGCTACATTGCATTACTGACTGACAAATATTGAGTTCTGTAAACGTGAAACTACTTCTATGGTATGAGACATGGAACTAGTTAATGCCAAATAACACAGCTACAATTTTTCATTGAGATTTTATTTAGCAATATGCCTTTTATAGTTTGTTTACAAGCAGATATACCTAAGTTGTTACAAGGCCAGTTGTCTTCCTTTATTAACAAGTCCAGGCATTTAGTCTGGGTTCAAGAAACTAATTCTAAACTTTAGAGAAGACCAAAAAGAGGGGGGGGGGGGGGCTAGTTGTCATAATTATTAGTCAAAAATTCTATTGGGCTGGTTGTTGAAATAAGCTTCTAGGGTATCCACATTCAGTTTGGTTTAATGCTGGAAATTTCTATCAGTGCTACTTACTCTAGTTCAGTTGTTGTCAGGGGCATGTCATTTATGAGTGTTGTGATGTCTTCTATGTTCTTATTCATGACAATCTTCCCAATCTTGTGATCACATTGTTTCTATTTCTTGTACTTAAAAATACATTCATTCATCTCATTAGTTTTTTGATTCTCAATGTCAGCACCTATGAAATAAACACTTTTCTAATAAAATAATCGCTAGGAGTAGTGACTTCAATCATTTAGAAACAATGACAACCAGCCACTTGGTCAATAAAACCACCATGAAAATAGAAGCTGGAAGTGTATAAAATCGAGAAGTACATAGAAGTCAAATTCATAAAGCACTGGTTGTGAATGTGTATGTGTTTCTTGTGTGAATGTTGTTCCAATTTTTCATCTATACTGTTATTGTACAGTAGTTACGCTGATATTGTCAATTGTAGTCAAACTGAATTTCCATTGGATTGGATCAATAAAATTATCATATCTTATGTAAATGCCCAGAATTTTTTATGATTGCCAATAGTTACAAAAAAGTAGTGTAAAGGAGCAAATGAGGTTTTAAAAAAAAAAAGCTGGAAATGTGATGCAGTAACTGAAATCCATTGGTGCACCAGTATTCACTTAATACCACTCAACTAGAAATGTAGGACATTGTCAACTCCTAAAATAAATTTTAAAAATAACATGACTGATTTTTGTAGTCCAAAAATGAACAACTTATAAATAAAGTTAATAAACCTGTATAGATGAACAACCTTAATGTGTTAAATAATTCACAATGCAAACAAGTGTATGAATCAGACTTTCTGACATTTCTTTCAACTTTCTAGTTCTCATGACCACATATTGATTCTTGACCTCTGTAAGGTGAAGGATAGATTGGAAGTAGATTACACTTATATTTGAGATTCATTCCAACAAATGTTCATGTCATCTTTTACAATCAATATGGAGAGATGTCAAGTTCATAATGCCTTGAAAAAAACCCATAAAATTCTTTAAAAATGTTTACATTTCTACTCACTTAACTGAGGCTAGGTGATGAATAAGTGGTGAACCTGGTAACTCATAGTTAATATAAAGAATACAGGTTAATAGTTAATATAATATAAAGAATACATCCAATGGAAATATTTGTTCCTTGTGCTAAACATGAAATAGATATAATTATAATTATCAATTTACATCTCTAAAAACACATTCAAAATGTACACGATAATTGTATTATGTAACCATTGAAAACATTTGACAAAAGATAAAAAACATGAGAGTCAAGGGATATGAAGATGACAATGAAAACTTGCCTAGTTTTAGGTGGCGTACTTTAAGGGAGATAATATATAAGCATCATTGTAAGGTACCTAAACTGGAGCAAAGGTTCACATATTACAGAGAAACAAAGGCTCATGGTTAAATGTCATACCACAAAAATATTTAAAACTTGTTTTATGCAGGGTAATAACTAGGGTAATGGATAATACAATACAAAAGAATAGAGATTTCTTTGAAACTGGTTCTTAATGGGACTAGAGTGCTACTGAAATGATGACTTTCTGAAAGAACAAAACCTAAGGAATGGCACTGAACATCCATATCCAGGATAGGAATGGCACAGTGCCACAACACTGACACTTTGAATGGGTGCTATGACATTCTACAGCATCAAGACGTCATAGTGCTACAACATGATGACTGATATGAAATAGAAACAATCTAAGTTACAGAATCAACTTTGGAGACTAATGGACTATGGACATACCAGTGAGAGCAGGCACACACACACATAACAAGACTATCTTGTACTCAATTATCACACACACATAACAAGACTATCTTGTACTCAATCATCACACACACATAACAAGACTATCTTGTACTCAATCATCACACACACATAACAAGACTATCTTGTACTCAATCATCACACACATAACAAGACTATTTTGTACTCAATCATCACACACATAACAAGACTATCTTGTACTCAATAATCACACACACATAACAAGACTATCTTGTACTCAATCATCACACACATAACAAGACTATCTTGTACTCAATCATCACACACACATAACAAGACTATCTTGTACTCAATCATCACACACATAACAAGACTATCTTGTACTCAATCATCACACACATAACAAGACTCTTGTACTCAATCATCACACACACATAAACAGACAATCTTGTAAAAAGAAATGCAATTTAATTGTGTAAATGACCATAACGATAACCTTTAACAGAATTGCATATATCAGACATAAAACAATGAGTGCTACTAAACACTAGCTACTCAAGTCATGTCTACTGTACATTTTGTTCCCCTTCCAAAAGACATTTTTGTTACAATTTTCTTAGTGAAACGTTGACTACAATAGTAATAGTTTTACTGAAGACTGTACAACATGAATATTGCTATGGCAGTATTCTTGATCAACATGAGGTCTTTGTTTCGCACTGAAGAAATAGACCTAAAACTTGGATTAGCTTCTGATTGTTTAAAACACCAGTACAATTTTACAAAATAATCACATGTCCCGTCATTGAAAGTAGTGATGCTATTTTAAAACTAAACATATTCATTGAAAAAAAAAAGTCTTTAGAATCAAAAACATTTCAGGAATTTAAAAAAAAAAAAAAAGCAATTTGAACAAACGAATAAATCCACAGGTCAGTTGTGCTGTGTGATATCAAAGGACAAAATGGAAAGTGAAAGCCCACTAGTTCAACAAAAATTGGATCACATGATGTCAAGTCTCCACCAGAATGGAACATCAACTATAAAATGTGTTGCTTTAGATGTCAGCATTGTTACCACCAGTTCTAGGCTTTTATAAACATTTGAAACATGACTCTGTTATAAATCATTCATAGAAAATTATTGTACACAAAGTAATACAAAATCTAGAGAACAATTCTGAAATACTGTATAAGAAAAGAAAAAAAAATATTGTTGAGAATGTAGGAATAACTGAAGCATACTGTAGGTCTGTGATTGTATAACATCTCAGCTTCAAAAGTTCTTAGTTTAAAATACAACTTCTTAATAAATTGTTACATGTTTGAGAGTAATTATGCAATCTTCATTGTATATTTTTTAATAAAAGTCTAAAACAAATCTCTCATCTTGACATTTTAATGATTTCCCATTTACCTTATAAATTACAGATGTTTTGTTCAACAGTAAACTATGTCCTAATCGTATCCATGTGCATGTTAATTAGAGACTTACACTCTGCTAAGTCATTGGTTTTCCTGGCTGATTCAGGCACACTTTCAATGCTCTAACGGCACTATAGAAGAATTTGTCCTAGCATATGGAATGAGAAATAAGCCTTTATCATAAATGTGCCTTAATCTTCCTTCAAATCAACTACTCTGATCTTGCAAAATGTGTTCTTTCTCTTCTTTTAAACGAGAAATCTAATACAATTTTCTAGAATTATTTGTTTGGAATTACACAATTATATTTTAACTTAACACACACAAAAATGGAACGTGTCCAGTATGTCATCATTAGTAATAAATACTTTAGGCTTATGCAGAATCAAGACGAAGTGATCTCTAACACATTAATATGTGCTTAACAATCAAGCAACAGCATGTAAGGTAGAGATATTTACAGAAAAAATTCTTTCAGCAAAAAGCAAACCAAAAAAAAAATAAACAACCTTTTAATTAGTAAGAAATTAAAATGTAAAAAAAAACAGTAGTTATCACATGAAGGGAAATGTACAAGAATAAAGACGTCTCCAATAATGAATACGGCCGTAAAGCTGGTATAAAACATTTAAGAATATCATGATGAATGACTAGATGTGACCAGATAATGGGGAAATATATATAAATATATATATGAACAACTTTCTAGCAACTAATTATATATGGAGGATTTCCTTTTCATGGTCTCTTCTGACATCACAGCTCAGGGGAGATAATAGATAACCTTTCTGAGCCATAATTTTCTTCAGATCATAGTCTTCTTTCTGCTCTCTAGAGGAAGAGATACACAGAGTTGAGTGTCAGTAAATACATCAATAAGACACAATGTAAGATCAAACTGTAGATCTAAATACATCAATGTGTCTCACAATGTAAGATCAAACTGTAGATCTAATTTACCTGAGTCTGTCTTCTTCTAGCATTGCCACTAATGTGTTTCTCTGCTCAACTACTTCAACCAATTCATTCAAAAGCTCACCCTCAGCAGCAATGTCACTTTCTGTTTTCTCTGTCAAACATAAAAACAACTAAAATGACAACACATAATAACCAAGTCAGAGGCTTATCATCATCTGTATTCAGTTCTTCTCAAATTTTGTTTATAAACCATTTATTCTGTTTTATATGATCACATCCAAAAATAAAAACAAAAAGTTTTAAATGTAGAGATTTAAGAATTCGAAAGATCACAGATTCAATGTCCATTATGGAAAATGTAGAAGGCTCCAACAAGTGATCAGGCAATTGTAAAAGTTGGTCTTAGTACTTTATTTGAGAAGTTCTGAGTCATTTATAAAACAGTTGGCTGCTCTAAATACACTAGATCTAGTCACTTAAATTCGCGGACTTGTCATGGCTGTGTGCAAATTATCTTCACTGAATCTACCATAAATCTAGATTCTAGATCTAAGTCACTAAAATTTGTGGGCTTTTCATGGCTGCATGCGAATTATCTTCACTAGATTCTATTGATTTAGCGTAAATCTAGAATCTAGGTTATTTCTAGAGTAATCTAGACATTATCTAGATGTATCGAGACCATTAAATTGTTTAAAATTCACTGAGTTTTCAGGTTAGGTGCAAGTTATCATCACTAGATCTAACTTAGATTTAGATCTAGATCAACATCTAAATCTAGATAGCCTACTATTTCTAGCTAGATGATTTACAGACTTTCCAAGCGAAGTCACTCTTACTGTTACAAAAAGATTTTAGGTGAGGGAAGGCCCGAAGGGGTGTAGCCTACACATTAGGCTGGTAATTGCTCTAATTATAGACAATAGTCACTACAGACTAGATCTAGTGCAAGTTCAGTCGTAACAGCCATTTCTACGCTGCCGGGTGAAATGCCATCTTCAATCACGAGGTCGCGCTTCACAAGTGAGTGAAAGGCTGTGTAGATGCATCACTGGTCAGCTCATTATCACAGCCAGCCCGATCAGAATGCACATAGTTATGCTGTTGTTTTTTCCCCCCACATTTTTAGCAAGAAGTAAGCAAAATTATATTTAAAAATTAATATTGGGTAAAAATTTTAGGAGAGAGGACAAAATTTTAGGAGACTTCTGGCAATTTTTAGGAGAATTTTAGGATTTCAGGAGACTTTTCATTTTTTAAGATTTTAGGAGCGCTATGAACCCTGATTATATATAATGTGATATTTTGGGGAATACTGAAAATAAAATACAAAGGCTTAAAAGAAAGGTTGTGGTTTTTCAAAACCCTTTCTTAGCAAGCACTTAAGAGGTAACAGGAACCTGTGTACAAAATTTCATGTGAATCTGTACAGTGGTTGCTGAGATCTATTGATAAATAAATAAATCAGTCAGTGGTATTTTATGCTTATAATAAAGATTTGAGCTTAATAAAATTCTATGACCACAGAATAAAACATTTAGTAAAAGTAATATTTACTGACCAGATTTCTTAGACCGTTCTCTGTAATCAGATTCTAGTCTTGCTTGCCTATCCTCAAGTTCAAGTTCTTTGGCTCTGAGGACATATTCAATAATTTTTCACTCTTTTTAAAAATTAAATCAACACACAAAATACTGCATAAAAAATTGCAATATTTATAATAGGTGTCATAGCTTGAGTCACTAAAGATTTAAAACACTAGAACTTTCTTAAGGACTTACCTTACATTCAATTCAGATTCATATCTTAGTAAGGCATTTTTTTCATGAACTAGGCTGAACCATTCACTCATGAGTTGGGCATCATCCATGTCTTCATCATCATCTGCAAAAATATAATTATTTTAAAAAAAAACTTGTTCAAAATGTAAGCTGATTACACATAAACACTTTTAAAACTGTATGCTGATTACACATGAAAACTTTTAAAACAATGCTGATTACAAATGAAAACTTTTAAAACTATGCTGATTACACATGAAAACTTTTAAAACTGTATGCTGATTATAAACGAACACTTTTAAAACTGAATGCTGATTACTCATGAAAACTTTTAAAACTGTGCTGATTACACAATAAAAATGTTCAAAAATGTATGCTAATTAGATAACAAACAAATTCAAAATACATATGAAAACTTTGTCTAAAACCTGTTTTATCTGTTTCTAATTACAGGTGATCAAAATGACTTTCAACTAGTACGTGCAGAATAGACTTACCAGATCCATCTCCACGTAACATCTTTTCAACAGCAATACCTCGTTCTTCCAGTTCTCTTTGTCTCACTTCCACCTCTTCCAACTGTCTCTGTATTTCCTGGGCCATACGCAATCGCCTTTGTTCAGCTCGTTTGTGTTGCTTAGCATGCATTTTGCTAAGTCTTCTGGCTACACGAGCATCCAGGTCCTCAGTCTAAAATGTTTGGTTCAAATAAAAAAAAACAACACCTAATTATAGAATAATGTACAAGTATAAGAATAATAATCTTTTTATTCATAAGGAAACTAGTCTTACAATTTATGCATTACACCAAACAAAACATAACAACTTTAAAAGACAAAATATACCTTACATGTGAAATATCATATAGTGGAATTGTATTTAATGATTTGATTGCCAGGGAAACAAAAGAGTTTTTGTGTCTATTTGTTTTT